GCAGTCATCCTTTCCCCAAAGGAGGCAGCTCGAATCAATAATTGAACCAAGGATAAGAGGACCAGGCACAAAGCTGAGCAAACGCAGAAACATGATCTGCATTCCAAGTCCAAATGCACGCTGGTTATCTGCTACACATCTAAAAAGAATTGAAGTATTGAGAATAACTTACAAATAGCCTCAAAGAAGTAGTACCAGACATGTCAGGACAATTCAGGGCAATATCACTACATTTCAATGATCCCCAAAAAAACACAAAAATTTATGTGACAAGAGCTAAATGCGATTTTGAGACAATGGTCCAAGTTACACAGTACCTGATGGCTTTTATATAAGATAGCTTAACATTTAAGTGTCACCTTCCAATCTGACACAAGTACCATTGGCAACCCGGAACCAGCTCTGTACATAGTGACATACATATGGACATCCCGATCTGCTACAGTATTGGTATAGGGAAGTTGACCAGCAATTAAGTGCTAACAACTTTACACTTTTTCAGAAATTATACACTATTTTCAGTGGAAAAAACTATATCCGCATTGACGGAAAACATCAACCCGAAACGAAACAATTAAAAAATCTTGTAGGTTTTTTCCTGGTACTAAACGTATCTGGTACTGCGCAACTAGAGCAAATGTTCCTCTGCAAAAAGTATTCACATTTTCCTTGCTATTTGTTGTGTCGTTATTGATGCTTGTCTTGTTTTCTCTTCTATCCGTAAATTTTTTTCTCTATCGGGCATTTTTGCTTCCGAGGAGAGAAAGGTACATCATGAAATTATCCATTTCGTCCTACTTGCATGCAGAAACGCACTGGCCAGCAAAAATGGTTTATCCTTTTATAAACGGATTGTAAATAAATCAAAGCAAGGACTGCAAGAAAAAGATGTCTCAGAAAATATGTGGTGTATAATAGCAGATGAGGCTTTTTCCCACCTACTGGCCAATGTCGTCTTAAGATACTTGACATACATATTCAATATAAGATTGAAAATTAAAATTTCTGAATTTCATTTAGCAAAGAAGACAGGCCTCCTGAGACCTCTTCTGATGCCTGGGGCAAACGAAGGATTAGGCCCGGTATGACGTTATTTAATCTGTGATTTTAATTGTTGACGTTATAACTTTTTGCACCCCTCTCAACTCGGGGCCTAGGGCAATTTCCCCCTAGAGCAATCTTTAAGCGGGCATGAAATTAGACATAAAACAATATATTCACCTTAGCGTCAACATTTTCTGTGGGATTGAGCCACTAAATGACACCATCAGGTTTAAAGCGCAGAGAGTCAGAAAAAGAACAAGGTTTTTGCAGTTTCGATCACAACGACCCGCTGTAACTGATGCATCACTACCAGATGTTGCTGTGTAAGTTGAGTTACGCAATGTTGGAGTTGTTTGATTGCTCGACATGCCATTAGATACACATGTGCAGTTGCTAGCTCCCTATGAAGCAAAAAATATACGAGATTTGCGACATTAAACAATTTTCAGAAAATGTGTGTGAAAAAAACAGAAACACCATAAAAAAACAATGGAGAAAACAGTTGTGTTGTAAAAAAAATTTTGGCATCCTTGCTTCTCTGCCCGTCTGTCCGGGGTCCACGATTCTACCGAGCAATTACGGTACAGTATTCCCTCTAATGAGCGCCCACTTTCTAATGACCACCCCTCTCCAATGGCAACCCTCTAAATATTATGAAAACTGATGGAGACCAGCAAATCGTCACAATAGTCGTCAGTTAAACCTAAGGTCTTTTCATGGGGAATGTTCTCTTCAAACACTGAGAGAACCAGATAAAATCCCATTCGAAGGAATTTTGATATTAAAGATGCAACTAGTATTTATGCAATTAGAACGCCCCTCTTAAATTAGCGCCCCCTTCAGGGGGCGAAAATTAAATTAACGCCGCTCATTAGAGAAGACACGGCGGCATTCTAGTTTCAGTACCAAAATCACTGATCAAAATTTCTGCTTGCTAAATACAACGAGGTTGTTTGAAAACGAGGTTCCAAAGAAACGGCCAGGAAGTCTTGGAGAGAAGTGAGGTCTGAGGTAGGTAGTTTATTATTTTTCTATCTTGATGATGCTTTAGTTATATACCCAGAGTAAGAGATTTCGTTAACTTTCTCAGCGCTTAAAGTACTGTGAGGCAGATAGGAAGCTAATTAGAACTAATTATCTACATTTTAAATAATAACTTAATCGTTGAAGTAGTAAAATTCGTTCCACGTGTTGCAATACTGTTGTCCTTGTAGCGTACGCTGTATGATACTTACCCCTTTAACTTTTGACTGGCAACCAGCAAAACATGGCGAGAAATATGTGTAGCCATCTTTTCCACACATTGGTTCATATGAACGTCTTGAACAGCCACAGCCAGAGTTACATTGTGATGTGATTCTGCCAATTTCGTTGCTGGAAAGTGTGTTGGCAAAATTAGATTCTTTTAACCATTTTTGTCACCCAAAACCTTAAAAGTCTAAAGCAGGGCAGAAAAATTTTATTTGTGTTTCTGTACTCAATTTTGAGATTGGCCTGGGCACAGGATTCACATGGAAATTCTTGTTGCAACTGTACAGATTATTCTAAATTTGAAAAAATGCATGGAGTGGATTTGAACAAAAATAATTGGGTGGGGAAATCGCATACCCAACGTACCAACGTTTCCGTCTGGGTCTGGACAAGGTAAAAAAACTGTTGCCGCCAACAAACGGCAGTTGTGAGATTTTGCATGTTGATTGCTTGTTTATGTTTTGTATGGTTCTCTCTGTGGCTGGTTATTTTATTCAGGGTTTCCTTAACTCCACAAATTAATTGAATTGTATTGTTTGTGTGTATTTTGTAATTGAATCTTAGTAGTTTTTTGTGTGTTCTCAGGATGTTTCAACAATTGAGCTATTTGCAAAAAACTTGTCTTGTAAAATGTTGTGTGTGTTTAGTATTGTGTTTGATATTGTAAAATGTTGTGTTGTATGTTTAATATTGCCTCAAAACCCTTTTTGTTTCTGATGCTCTACAAATCCACTTTTTGTTCAAACTTTAATAAAATTCTGTCAGTTATTATGATAGATTATATAGTCTGTTCAGTGTCTTTTGTCGCTGACAGATATGATCAGCTATTTTTCCAATTATATTTCTTTTTATGAATGTTGACTTAAGCTTTGCATTAGTTTAAGCAGTCTCTTGCAATAGTTTTGCCCTCTCACCATTCAGTAACGTTTGTCCTCATAACCTACTGCTTCTTTCTACAACATAGTATGTTAAAGTCTACACATTTAACATCTTAAGATGTAGCACTTACGATTTTTGATAAGGTATGGCTGCTCCAACAATGTTTGTTGACTTGCAGCCTGGCAGCAACCAAACTGACGAAAATATTGTCAGAAACACCCCAGTCACGATGAGATACTGTGATGCTCTCTTTGGAGAGTTGGCTATTGACAGCTTCTTCATTAGAAATGATCCAAAAGCAACACCAACTGTGAATTAAGCAATCTGGTTTTCAGAAAATATTGCTAACTTGTTGCCAAACATTGACCAGAATAATTGGACCTTGTAACTCTCCATCTTATCTCAGCAGAGACCTTAGAAAAGTTTTGCCCAGGAATTTTGCCAAAGGATTGCATTGGAATCCCATGTGAATAAAGTCCAATTTTAAGCACCAATAAACATTTCAGCCCAAGGGGAAATTCAACCTTGTTGCTTGAATTTCCAATTTGATGGGCCTAGCTAAACAGTCATGTCATGTTGTTTAGACAGTGTTTCTACAGTTATTGACATCCTTGCTCTTTTTTCTATTTATATTACTATAAGAAACAATAACATAGTACAATATTAATATACAATAGAAATACAGTATAAACTACAATGTTCTATGCTGTCCCTTGCAGAAAAAATTGATGCATTCTGGTTCTTTCTATGAATGGCACTTAAAAGTTCTTGTTGTAAGGATTGTAAGATGCGGGCTAAACAGTGTTTTATCTGATTTTCATAACAGAACAACTATTTACATTATCAGAGATGTAACTCAAAACTATGCTTGTAATCTAGATAACTAGAGAACTTGACTTAACTCATGAACTCAACTTAGCTGCCACATCATTGTGCATAATTGCATTGAAGCCAGGTTGTGACACATGCATGTCGTGAAAGCATTTTAACAATTCTTGAACAATAGTCTTATAAAACAAAAGTAGTCATTGAATAAAAGACTATTATTTGTCAAAAGCTTTTTGTGTACCATGGCATGGCACCTTTTCATTTTGACAGGTGCTAGAATTTGCCAGGCTCTGGTAGGCAAATTGATGCTGAAAACTATGCAATGGTGCATGACTTGTGAAAGACAGATCCTTTTACTGTAATTCAGTTAATCACTATAGTAAAGCTGAAGAAAACTCACTGGTATTTGCTGGAATGAATACAGCTGCTGACAGTAATGAAACTTGTGACAAACTACCACCAAATTTGAGAACAATAATTTTTGTGTAGAACCCTCCAAGTGCGGCAGCAAATATAATTTTTACTGTAAGGCCAAGGCAAGAAAAGACATATGTCTTGTTCTTGAGAAGATCAATCAGGCTCCTCAATAGACCTTTCAGTCCTGAAAAGAGTGAGATTGACAATAAATATAAATATATATCATGTAAAGGCTACAGTTCAGAAATAATCAGCTGTTTATCTTCTTCTTATAAAAAATAGTACTACAGCAGATGTCCGGCACACCCACAAGTAGGAAAGAAATAGGTGACTCGTGGTTAAGCATAAACAAATCAGCCCAAATCAGAAAATAATTTCCACGTTGCCATACAAATATCTCGTTTTTTAGCTTTTCACGATTTTCAAATCACTTCGCTTACATTTTAATCAGTAACCGTTTCTAAAATATTAAACCAGAATAAATCAAAGCTCAAAAATATATTTTTAGTCGAAAAGATAATTTTAATATGCTCATTGTCTCTAGCGGTTTCTTATTCTTTAACTCGTATATTTTTACCTTTATTATTCACCAATGAACATGTTATGGATCATATACTAATCATTGTATTTTTCTATTGTATCTATATGAAAGAAACAGGTGTTTACTAAAACACAAAAATCGGTGTATGGCATTTTTGGGTTTGGGTTAAGGTGGGGCTTGTTATCAATCTTAGATTATACGATGAAGGCTTTTTCGAGGGGAACTTCCCTGCAGATTTATGGTATCTGAAAATTTATTTTCTGGGGTGAGTGGTAAGACCAGCTCCCTTTTGGGTCCAAGCGGCGATTAAAGGCATAGCATAGCCATGAAAATTTTTTTGGCACCATGCTATCTTTAAATTATGAAAATATCCTCGTTGTACCCTTTATCATAGATAGTTCCCCCCTTCCCCATGGACACACCCATACATACAACCACCTTTGGTGCCTTCGTCAGAAGGAACATCAGAAGGTGCCATGCTATATAAAGAAAGATACTGTATAGTAAATTGAAATAATCATGAATGGTAATGATTCTTTGATATTCACATTTAGCTAGTGTTGATATCGGGGCTAACTAGTTTTTTTCCGCCATATATTAAGGGACTTATCTCTTCTACTCCTATCTCTTGCACTCCCATTAATTGATGCCATAAATCACTACTTAGCACGTCTGTTGGTTAAAGCACAGTCTTTGATAGAAATTAGCGCTGCATCTTAGGCCCCGTTTACACGACCTTTCAGACTAAAAGATCCGGACCTTTTAGGTACGATATGGGTACGATCCACAAGCGTTTACACGAGATCGGATCAAAATCAAATCTCTCTTTTTAAGCATGCGCAATGACAAGGTAATTGTTAATTTCTTTTTTTGCGGGAGAAGCGATGGCGTCATTTGCAAACAACGATAAGTGTTGATCTTTTACATGGAAAGAGGAGGAGACAGCTTTCTTGATAAAAGTAGTTTTTGGTTACAAAGCTGCTAAAATGCAAAATGAAGAAAACTTAGAGACTGTTAGGTCGAAATACAAAGACATTCTCCTTCAATTTATCGAGGTCTATCCAGAAAAAGCAACAGAGAACTTTCGAAATAGCCAGGGTAAAGAAAAATCTTCAGAAGTTTTATGTTGTATAATGAGTGCTACACTTTATTGCGTACAATTGAAATGGCCTCAATTGATCCAGCAACAGTCTCTTTTTACTGCCGTTCTTTTGCAGATTCGTTTCCACCCGTTTACACGGTGCTCTTGAAGGTACGGATCCAATTGGATTCGCTTTCGAATCGTACCCAAAAAAGTACAGATCTCTCCCTGAAAAGATACGGATCCTACCGTGCCCGTGTAAACGCGAGGCCTATTTTGCTAGTTTGGGTACGGATCTATGCGAATCCGTTCCCGTGTTAACGGGACTTTAATTTGATCATCATCTTTATTGGAATTAACTTACCTTTGCCAATTTCCTTGTTTGCTGGTCGAAGTTTGCCTGCATCCATAGCTTCAAGTCGCTTTTTACGATATTTTGGCATCTCGCGTGGGAAGCATAGGAGAAAGACGCCAGAAATGATTGCAAACCATGCAAAAACGAAGAAGCCAAGCCACCAGGCCCCAATCCAACGAGGATCCATTCTTGATAAGGTTATACCTGCGGGCTACAGCATATTTGATTTGGTTACTGATAAGACTACACTTTTCAGTCTCTGAAGTTAACTTCTTATTAACAGAGTTATGTCAATAATATCAAAAAGGATTATGTCGTCATAAAATTCACGGATGCGTGTATACAAAATAACACACTAGAAGTGAAGAAGTGAAGAATGCAGAAGTGAAGTCCAGTTGAAAATATCCGATGTGCAGTAAAAGATATCTGAAATATCTGAAAATATCCAGTAGAAGATAATTAATCTTCTTGTCGTCTAGATGTTTTGCTACGTATTTTTTCTCAAACATAATGCAAAGACATAAAGAGAGGGATTTTTCGAAACAAGGAAAGACAATTTAATTATACTTTGCTTAAAATTATAAAAAAACAATTTTCTCAGCTTAAATTATCATAATCTAGTAGATATCAAGGAACTCTTACTAAAGCAAGGTTTGTGAAAAACCTTGAAAAGGTGCCACCAATAGCATATCCCAAACCACGGCCAAGAAACACAGAAACAAACCATACGCCAAGGTATATTGGGGACATTTTAGGGTTCACATTTTCATCCAGGTATACAGGACTGAGAGGCCAAACTGGTGTGACTCCTAAACCAATAACGACTTGTGCAAAGCAAAATAATGCCAGGTACTTGTCAGCTGATCCATAACCTTGTGGTCCACTACAGCTTGCCGCTAATGCAGACTGCCCATTGAGAACAATGTTACAGAGATTTGATCCTTTGTTTGTGAGGCCAGGAATAGAATAGTTGCCAATCATTACTTTTGGCAAGATCATCAGCAGTGCACCAATACCTTAAAATGAAATTTTTTTATTTGTGACAGAAAACACCTATAAGCAAAATAAAATGCAATGCAACCTAAAAAACACAATATATATTATTATTTCCCGATATTTTTTCTACCCTCTTTCTCTATTCTCTATTCTCTATCGTCTATGTGATCCGTTGTTATATTTTCTATTTTACAGTTTATTTTTTTCCTATACTATTATCTTGTGTTTTATCTTATTAAGTTTTATTATTCACTTCTTTATTCAAATCTGGTTATGCTTTTCTGTTTTATCATATTCTGTTCCGGCTAGATAGCAAATTTTATTCAGGTGCTGTATATTGCACATTTTAAAAAGTTGTGGCACATGGATTCTTTTGAATCTGCAAACTTTTCTATAAAGTATGAATTAAAAGAGATGCAGATTTGGTAGCGAATTCGTCGCATACGTGTGGGCAGGACCTATCAGCAAATGCATGTGTGTATTAAAAAATATCTATAAACGTGGGGACCAAACCTTAATTTTGAAGAACAATGATCTGGAGTATCCGTTAGTGTGAAGGATCCCTATAAATTTGCCCATCCTAACGATGATACAGACGCCATTGCTGACACTTCTGCTGATGCTAATGCCGAAGCTAATGCTGACGCTTATGCTGACGCTTATGCCGACGCTAATGCTGATGTTGACATCAATTCTGACGATGACACTAGGCGCTATTAAGGCTGAAAGTGCAACTGATTGGCCGTTTTGGCCGTAAATTTTGAAGTTGATAGAGGTATATATTTTTGAAACAATGAGTATTTGTGATTTTATAATGCAATTGCTTTTTACCTGTTATAATGGCACCAATGCCTATCCATTTTGGTTTTTTGGCGTGAGTACCATAAAAGCTTACAAAAGGCAGCATCAGTATTCCTCCAATGTCATTTGCGAGAAGGATAACTGCGGACTTCTTGCTGCTAAACCCGAATTCTTTTTCAATATCAGGCAAATTCACTCCAGTCAGACCAGATACTATCCCTGAAGTATATGAATTTGTATAACATAGAAAATTTATCAAATTTGTAATGAAGTGTAGAAAAAGTAAACAAAACGTTATCCAGAGTGGTGGAAAAGCATTTTCTCCTGCCCACCGCGAGGGAAATGACACCCAAATACTTGTATATCACTGCTCTTTCATTTCTAGATAAAAACATCTTTTAATTTGAACATCTGCATTGGTAAAAGAACTTGTACGAAGATACTTTAACAACATTCATATGTAATGTGATATGCAAAAGATGCTGTGAATCTGTGGGGGTATGTTGTTTTTGAACAGATCCTGTTTGAGACGTTATGATCGGAGTTAATGCGCGTTAATCAGGTCTTCTCGTATGTCGCTAACATTATTCAATCTTTTATGCATTCGCTTCACGGAAGGTGGCCTTTGCAACACCGAGAAGCCGTGTTTTTTGGAGCTGTGTCCTGATCCTTCTTTCGATATGATCGTACTTTCTAAGCCTGGAATTACAACAAGCTGGCGTCTCTCCTCGCTCTAAGTAAACTTTTGGTCATGTCACTGACTCGCACTGCAAATCCTTGGATATGTGGTCCGCCACCCTTATCAACTTAACCATCCTCACAACAAATTCAATCGTCATCCCTAATTCAATCTTGATTTCAATCATCAGTTCAATTATTTTAATATTGCGGACGATTCAGTTTATTATGAGCTTTCTCTGTCATATCAACACAAACATGAACCTATCAATCTTATATTATCTCCTTATCATATATTGGATGGAAACAACAGTCCTTGCCAAACTCTCTTGAAAAAACGCAAAGGAGCCCTCTTTCTACTTCTCCAGACCACCCAACTTCCAATACCACATACCCACCTCCTCACCCCCTAGACAATGTTGATTGAGAAACATTTATTCTTAGAAGCACATCAAAAACACATTTATAAAGCATAAACATCAAAATATTCAACATCGTTTCGGGGAAAAGGAGGATGCATGAGTTATTCAATTTTAGGGAAGTTTTTCAAGTGTTTTGGCAAGGATTGAAGTTGGAAAGCATGATTGAAATGACAGCCATTCGATGTCAAAGTCAACGTCCAAAGTTGCTGTATTGAGCAGTAGCTCATTACCTAAGTGGGCTTTTCCCATCCTTTTCTAGTTACATGATAGACTCATTATACCTCTAGCTTTAAAGACTTTGGAACTCTTTGTGCGTAATAAATTATAGCTTCGAGGACGCAGAAAACATCCTTGTGGGACTCATGTTGCGAGTGAATATCAATATGAAACGGTATTTTGCATATCAATTTGCGATCGCATCACACCAATGCAGAGGTACATGTTATAATTTCATGAAGTAATCAAAATTTACCTGCTGTCATAGCATAAACAACCAGAACTACGAGGAAGACACTTGGTCTTGACAGAGGCTGCAGGAAGTTCGGCCGCCATTTTCCCCAACCACAAAGCAAGGTCCTATCCAGAATTTCCTCCGTAGTTTTCTCGTCAGCTTCTTCATGCTCGGATTCTTGCTTTTTGCTTGTTCCATTCGCTTCCAGCGGAATTGTCTCTGAAATGTCGTGCTCTCCATCCATTTCTCCAGCTGAAGTCTTGTGCTGGAAAATGTGTTGTAAATATATTGTTATGATCTTTCAAACTAGAAGCGTATCCAGAAGATATAGAAAATAGTACGTCGTATTACGAGATGTAGCATAGCTAGAGTTTTTGTTTGTTGGAACAAATTTGGAAAATTTTTGTTCTCGCTATGTTGCCTGAATGATATTTTTGACGGAGATTTGTTCGTGATCTGCCTAGTGAACACCAGACATTCTTGTGTTACAACGCTGTTCTTCTTTATTTCAAGAGCTCTCTCCGATACCAAATATAAAAACTGTTTGCCGGTTTCTATAAGTGAACTTTGTGTATTGCAACGTATGCTGCTAGAAGATGCAATCAGAAGTAAAAAATGATGCCTTCCATGTGTATATTTTAAAGTACGGCCCGCGACAACTTTAGGGAAACCTGTTAAAAGCGCCAGGAGCATGTTGGGTATCATTGCCAGCTCTAAGAGATTTTCCATGTTTATTGTGAGACATGTTCTTTGTTTTAGATGAAATACCTTGGTAAGAGCCTACCGTGTTTTCTCGAATCAGCGCTAAGTTATGTGTTTAGTTAGAAAATTAGGTTCTCGGCTGTGTGTTTGCTTTCTAAGGAGGTAAAATATCAATTGCAGCATAAGCTGACTCAGTTACTTAGATATTGTCCATTCTCATCAAAATAAAACCAAATCATCCATAAATACCAAACAATTTAAAATGCTTTTCGAAAATTATCGTTTAATGCTTATCAAATATTGTTTTTTGGTACTAAATGCTGCTACACACTTCAATCATCGTAGTCAATACTGTCCACAATAAATGTTTGTTGTAAGTGTTTGTTAGTATCATGCGCCAATGCGCTTGATGTGCTTAAAAGTCTAGGGGGTGAGGAGGTGGGTGTGTGGTATTGGAAGTTGGTTGGTCTGGAGAAGTAGAAAGAAGGCTTCTTCGCGTTTATTAAAGAGAATTTGTCAAGGACTGTTTACATCCAATATATGATAAGGAGAAAAGATTGATAAGTTCATATTTGTGCTGCCGTGAAAAAATTCCACCTCAGTTGCATATTCCTGCCAAAACTTTAGAAATATCTAAATACAGTTTAATCCCGATATAACGAACCCCGGATATAACGGATTTCCGGTATAATGAACTAAATGTCTGGTCCCTTGGATTCTGCCTAACAAACTCCTTACAAATTCTCCGGGTATAGCGAACCGCGGATATAACGAACTCTCGATATTACGAACCACGTTTTGGTTCCCTTCATCATAATTATCCTCAATACAACGGACTTTTCATAATTTTTTCATCTAATATTTTTGTTTATTTATTTTCAATGTTTATTTATCACTTTCTCTTGGAGGAAATCGTTATTGTCATCAGCAAAACATCCTGATGATATATTTCAAGCACTGGCTGATAGACTCAGTGCAGGAGATGAAAGTTTGATTGCGTCAGAAATTACTACAAATTGGTACATTGACACTAACAAATACTTTGTTACATATGAGAAATTGGCAATGAGCGACGACAAAACTTGTTGAGAGACCCAGATGGAGAAGCAGAACGAGGGGCAATTAACTCTTGCAAATAGCGTACAAGACTTTTTCTAAAACAAATTCAAAATACAACAATATACAACAATTTCAGATCCATTTTCAGAATAAACAACAAAACTTTGAGGTAAAAATTCAAAATAGCCACAAATATCAACCGTTCACTGCTAAAGTTTTTTAAATATCGAAATGTCTCCTAATCTACAAATGATTATCTTTCGTGCACGCAAAGCTTTATTGCGTGGTTGACATCCAATGAAGCATTCAGTTGCATAACGATACGATTGCATAATAAGGAGAATTCAAGTACAACCCAGGGACTCTCTTGCAAATAACGTATGAGATTATTCCTAAAACAAAAGGATTTCTGGGGATCTTCAGTAAAAACAATAGGATTTTCACAAAAGGTGTACTAGATTTTCTTGGAGTAATTTGCCCCTCGAAGCAAAAGACAAATAAGAATGTGAAGTAATTGAAAACGTCATTCAGCCCCCAACTGGATGTGAAGTGATATCAGCTTTGCAAATTTCTTGATCTTAAATAATAAGAGGAACATTGAGATTTAATTTTTGATAACCAACCAGTAGTGTTATTTGAACTCAGCTTGGATTTTTGGAGTTAATTGTGCAAAGAAGTTGGAGATAGACTAAACATGCACACCGAAGGTTTTAAAGACGTGTACTGCGAAAAGACCTAAGAAACGTTTTCTCTCTGTTTAGCGAACTCCCGATATAACGAACTATTTTCTGGTTCCCTACAGAGTTCGTTCTATCGGGGTTCCACTGTATTCCAAACGTAGCAACTGGCGACAAAACCGTCTAAACGGTCGAAACAACATGATTTTTTCATTACAGACTATTTTCAAAATGACGTTTTCAAATCTGAGGTGAATTTTTGACAAAATTTCGAGATAGCGAGATAGCGAGATAGCGAGATGCAAAATTGATTGCGTCATCTGGGAACTGCTAATTTTATTGCTGATGTTGGCTAACTAAATAAGGCTGATAATGGAGATGATATACTGCTTTCCTTACAAGGTTGATAATGATGACAATAAACTTTCATGATTTTGTTTTGCTTTTTTGTAAAAGGAATCATTTTACTTAGATCTGCCACCAGAAAGTAGATGTAGCTAACAGGAGTGCCGTGGAAAGGCACTCGGGGACTTAGCCCCCCTTGTTGAAATTTAGAACGTTTTTATGGAGCTGAGCCCTTTTGAACAAGCCAGTGTATGTCTGGTTAGGCAAGTTCCTTACTTAGCAAAGTGAACTAACCCAAAACTATGCTATTGATTATCAATGTATGATGAATACCCTTTTAGAGTTGGTAAAAGTACCATTGTTTTGATTTACAAATAACCAGCGCGACAGTATGCCCCTAATCTACGCTGGCTTTTAGATCAGACTGGCGTTCGGGAGCCTTTGACAACTTTTACAACGACCCAACTTTTACAGAAGCACCTTATCAAAAGCAAATCTATTTCTAGCATGTTTCATCACAATAGTTTCATCTAAAACGCAGCCATACAATTTCGTTATTTCTTCCTTTATTGGAGGGTAAGAGAAAGCAAAAAGCATTAGGGTTACCATAATCTCATTTTATTATCAAGCTCTTTATAGAATATTTTGTAAGGGGCCTAATTGCATTGGCTGGCTAGTTCGTCTGGCTATTTGCTATTATGACCCTGTTTTCATGAGACCAGATCCAGATCGAGTCCTAAAGTATCCAGAATTTATTCTAGTATCCTAGGCGTTAACATGGGATCCAATCCAAAAGCATTTGCTTTTACGCGAGACCGTACCTAGATGAGATCTACACAATATATGAGATCTACGCTTTTCGTAAACTGGCATGCATCAGACGTTTAGTAAGCAACTGAGATTAAAACAAACAGTCCAACCTGAATATGGAGGGTGGTAAATGCACTCGCAATTCAATCTAAAAGAGCTGTTCATAAAAGACAACAAAAACATGCTATAAATATATTTTGAAGACTTCAGGATTCATCTTATCAATTACCGTGAATCTCAAAATTGAAAATGACCGTAAATCCTCCAATTGGCCTCTCCGCGAATATGCCCCCACCCCAGAACTACAAATTGTTTATAAGCCCCCCTTGGAATAAGCCCCCCTCTCGATTAACCCCCACCCAAAAATATATAAAAATAAGCCCCCCCCCCGGAGGCTAATTCGAGGATTAACGGTTTTATGTCTTACATTCGAATAAAAAGTAAATGGGCTCGATCTGGACCAGATCCAACCGTCTAAACGGGATCGATACGGGATTACCACTGAAAGCGATCCCAAAAGTGTTCAGATATCTAATCCGTAAGTATATGGATCCATCCGTGTGAACGCACGGTCAACCTCTTTTGGATCCGATGCGGGAAACGTGTAAACGGGGTCTATATATCAATGAAGTTCACTTATGTGTAAACGGGGTCCAGGAGCGGAGTCAGAGCAAATTTGAAGGAGGGGCAGTTGGTTGTGGGGGCGCTGAGCAATTTTTCAAAAACTGGTTACGAAAGTACGCTGTGTACAACAATTTCAGATCCATTTTCAGAATAAACAACATAACTTTAAGGCAATCCTTGAAGCAAATTAACCTATCGGTCCAAGAACCTTTTTCATCTGATTCTCATTCTTCAAAAGGGGCGCACAATTTCTAAAAAAGGGGTGCAAGACTTGCTTAAACTCGTTGAGGGAGGGGCGACTGCCCCTAGCTGCCCCTCTCAAATCCGCCACTGACGGGATCTGTGGTAATTAATTAAGACCTTCAAATCCTGAAAACGTTTGTATTTGTGTGTATGAAACTTGTATTGTGTGATTGAGCGTGATATGGCAGGATGGACTTTCTATGTCGCATAACTGAATATTACACCTTTCTAGAGAAGACGATACCATTGGGAGCACAATGGACATGACCACCCATTGACCTGATAAAAAACAATACATTAGCATCGAAAGCTTTGCCAAAATCATGTTTAGATCGTTAGGGATTGCCACAACGTATACAAAGGTATCATAGCCATCAATCAAATGATACATACTGCCCCGTTAAAAATATTATCTTATAATAAGATATTCTCTAGCTTTTGCCTTTTAAGGTGTGCTTGATGTTTCTACTTTAAATTCCTCGAAAGGGGAATATGTTTCTGTATTATTGAATTTAGGGCCCTTAGAAACGTACCGAGGAAGACTAACCACCAAGAACACGGACAACCGAGAACACCGATTTTTAGAGCGCACATACAAATAAAAAATTATCCATCTATGGCGCTTTACAATGACAAAAGTTTAAAACTAGTTTAAAATTTAGATAATTAATAAGTTCTAGCCTTGCTCTAGCCTTGTTGTTATATTTTGGGCATATCAAGTCACAGTGTCCGTATAATGTGTGTTCTTATAAAAAATTTAAAGCAGTTTATGACTATGATTATGGCTTTTACCGATTCATACAAT